ATATATATAAAATCAGCTCATTAATCCCTTCTCCTAAGGATGGCATTTGAGTTGTTTTGAGTTTGGAGCTATTCTGAGTAAAATTGCTGTGCATGCTTCTGCAAGCGTCTTTTGTGGAACAAAAGCACTAATTTCCATTGATTTCATACCAGAAGTGGCCCTGCTGGGTAGGGTTAGGATTAGCCTTCATAGAGAGCCAAAAATCCTTCCAGATGGTGCCAATCTATTCTTCTACTGGCAGTACATGAGTATTTGGGGGATTTTTAAGGCCAGGATAGGATGCCTCACCTCCTCCAAACTTCCTGGCCGTTTCCTACCAGATTGAACTGAAATACTGGGTGTTCAATCCAGGCTCTCCGTGCCCGAGTGGGACTTCACCAGACCCTGGGTGTCTCGGACTCCTTGTGGATGGAGCCAGGGGGCCTGAGGGTGGAAGGCTGGGCTGGCAGAGGGCTGGGCAGGGGTCTCTGTGGGGCAGGGCTTCTCCACAGCTCTGAGGAGACAGGGCAGCTGCTCAGGGAGCTGACGGTGACATCCCAGTGGGTGGGACCAGTGTGCTGGTGACATCTCTAATCTGCCCAGGAATGTGAGGTGGGCGGTGCTGCTTGTTCTGCAATGAAGGTAGGACCGGAAACTCACCTCCCACAGCCCAGTCCAGTCCTGTTCCTCTTGCTGAGTTCTGCACTCTGTTCCCAACTTCCTCCCGCCTGTGTGAATTGAAAATTTAATTGAGGAGATGGGGCAGAGGAGAGATAATCCGCAGTGACTCTTGCACAACTGCAGAGGAGGAAGGTTTCACGTTCTTCGGGGGCCTCCGGGAGGGGAAGTGGGGCCTACACCGGGCAGGGTGAGGAGAGAGGACCTTGCTGGGTGCCTTCGTGTGGTGTTGTGCAGAGACAGTTAGCTGTTCCACTGATGAATCCATGACAAGGCCACAACTAAAGGAAAAACAAAGGCCACTGTGGCCCTCATTCCGGCTCACCTCTGCCCGTGACCGTGTGGGGTAGACTAAGTCACGGAAGTACGAAGCAGCCACCAGGGACTCCCGGTCCTGGGGCCCATCCTGGCCCTGACCTTCGTGACTGTGAGGGTGAGCGGGACCCTAAGCTGGAGTTGCTAAGCTGCGCTTTCCCTCTCTGTGAGATGCTGACCGGAAGAGTGCACACCTGACCCGGGTGACACACCTGACACCCCTGGCGAGTCTCAAGGCGAGCACGTGCGGGTCGCTGTCCTGTCACCATGGCTCTTGGTCTCTGGGAGTCGGGGAAGGAAGTCGTGGCAGGGGAAGAAGCCAGGTTCCCCTGGGGGGGACCTGCTGTCTGGGGCGATGCAGGAGGCAGCAGTGCACAGTGGGGGTGACCCAAGCCTGACTTTCTCCCAGCTGCTTTGAGACCCAGGATTCTCTCCACTGAGAGTAAGTAAAATCTTAAATAGCAGCTACGCGGACATCAACTGCCTCCTCTCTCCAGGGCTCCAGGCCCGGCCTTCCTGCTGCTTCTCTCTTCTGGAAGGTCTTAGCCTGCCCTGGGGACCTGCCCCATGTGGCTTCCTTCCTTTGGTGACTGTGCCTTTGAAAGTGGCTGAAGCATTTCCTGTCCTGGGCAGAGTCAGAGTGAGGACTCTGGCTTCCTCTCTTCCCCAGGGGCCCTGGCCAGGCCTGTGTAAACCTGGGCCAAGGCTGGGAGGCAGTGGGTGTGGGGCTTCCTTTCAGGCCAGGGGAGGAGGCCGGCTGTGGGCCTGGGATCAGTCCCAGCCTGGCCCTTAGCTGGGGGGACACAGCTTCCCTTGTCCGAGAGCCTGAGGCGGGAGGCGGCTCTGAGGAGAGGACTGGTGTTTGTGAACCTGCTTTGGTAGCTGCAAGCCCGCAAGTGGGTCAGTGCCCCCTGCCCAGGCCTGGCCTTGGCCCTGCACTTCATTTCTTTATCTCAATCAAGCCTTGTCCTTGGGGCTCTTTTGTTTAGGGCGGAAATGGTCCTAAGACTGAGGTCCCGCAGGTTGACTTGTTGGAGGCAAAGCACACCTTGGCCTCTCCGCCTGTCTGTCAGGATGCCAAGGGTGTGGGTCCGAATGGATCCCCAGTGCTGCCCCCTCCCCAGGGTTTTTTCTAGCACTGGAGACTGAACCCAAGGACTTTGCACTGAGCTAGAGCCCCAGAACTTTGCGGCAGGATCTTGTTAAGTTGCTAAGCTGGAACTTATGATCCTCCTCCCCCAGCCTCCCAAACTGTTGGGGTTATAGGCATGCACTCCCATACCCTGCTTCCTTGCTATTTTAAGGTCTGGACCTAGGAAGAGGGCCTCCCAAAGGTGCTTCAGGCAAAGTTAGGCTCTGGAGCCAGGCATGGTGGCATAGCTGTAATCCCAGCACTCAGGAAGCTGAGGCAGGAGAATCACTATGCATTCAAGGCCAGCCTGAACTACATAGCAAGAACTTGTCTCAACAAACAAATGTCAGGCTCTGGGTGGGGAGGGGAGAGAAGAGGGAAGGCCAGGAGGGAGGGAATGACAGGCCCCAAACTGCTCCATGGGGTGTTCAGAAAGCCTCCCTTCCTGTTTTGCAATATGGCTTGAAGGATCCTGGGACCCTCTGGAGTGGGGTGGAGGAAGGCTAGGTGGAAGATGTGCTCCTTTGCTGGCTGTCTTCGCTTCTCCTGTGGTCTAGAGCAAAGCCCCAGGAGATCCCCCCAGGCCTCTCTGTCCCCAGCATCCTCCCTGTCTGAGGTACTGGAGGCCAAGCCGGGTGGGGCCTAGTGGACCAGCTGTGTGTGTGGGGGCTTCAGAGGTGGGGATGTGGTGCAGGCCACGTTGGTGGGAGACCAGGGAGGGGCGGGAATGTGGGAGGACAGGACTTCGGAAGCCTGGGGACACGGCTTTCTGGCTTGGCTTTTCTCTAGGCCTGGCCGGAAGGAAGTCAGTGAGGTGCCTCCTCCTGAGTCCCTGTGAGCTTCTGCTTCCTGCCACACTGCAAGCTTTTGACATCAAACGCCTTTCTCTTCATGGGCCCTGTGGCCCTAGCCGCCTGCCTTTTCCCAGCCCCAGCTCCTCCCTGGATTTCCCTGGGGGAGTCTAGGCCCCTGTATCCCTCCCTCTTGTGCTCACAGGGCTGCTGGCCTCGGGATCCAGCCCAAACAGTGTCCTGGAACCTGGGTGCCCGAATTGGTCAGGGTGGATACTCCCAGAGTGCCCCGGTCAGGGCTCCAGGTCACCTGGGAAGAAGTCATCCTCATCCTCATATGTGGAAGTCCCATCCCCTGTCACCTTTTCTTTCTGACTCAGTTTCCTTTGCTCACTCTCTTGTCACCCATGTGCTTTAATGACATTCTTATGAAGAACATGGTTATGATCCCAAAGCCCTGTCAGCCTTTCCAGGTGTTTCCCAGAGACCTCTGCCTCCCCGCCGTGCTGCTGCCCAAGTCTTTCAGTGCTGGTCACAGAGCAGGGCTCCTGCTTCCTCCTCCTGGCGTACCAGGATGCTGAGGCAGCGGGAGGCGCCCGAGGATGAGCCAAGCTCTGCCTCAAGGAGCGCTGTCTTCTGCTAGGAGCAGGAGGAAAGCAGGGAGCAACGCTTGGCACCCTAGTGAGGCAACCCCCACACCCCAGAAAGCGGGAAGGGCCTTGGCCAAGCCTGGAGAGAGCAGCCCACATTCCAGGGCCAGATGATCAACGGGGGCGGGAACGCCACAGCCTCCGCACACCTAGATGTTCTCTGCACATGCGCAGACCGGAAGAAGCGCAAGTCCAGCCACACTTGCCAGAAGTTAGGCCGCGCCAGCTTTGTGCACATGCGCCGATTAGACAACACAGCAGGCTGCAGATACTCCTGGTGGAAAGCGCATCAGAAGGTGAAAATACCCTGACTCAAGAATGCGCGGAATTTATCTAATCTGCCAAACCTCCTAGCAATGGCGCATGGCCCACCAGGCTCAGGGTTCACACTGCTGGGCGAGTATCCCGGTGCCTGTCCCCACCCCAGGGAAAGATCAAGGTCCAGATTTTGAAATACCATTCCTACTAAAGGCAGGTTGCTTTTGCACGATCATAAGGTAAAAAATAATCCTAAATCCACCCAGGGTTAGTTGAGCATTTTCATGTTGGCTTTGTTCTCCAGCACCCTTCCCCTGGGGGACGCCCCACTTTACCCAATTCCATCCCTTTGCAGGGCATGTGGCCCACCCCACCTCCCCATTTCACACTGACCAAACTGATACAGAGTAGGTTCCAGCAACGTGTCTAAGGTCAGGCATCTTCTGAGCAGAATTTCTTCTGAATTACAATTTGGAATTTGAAGATGACAGAGATTTAAGTGACCTGAAGCTCAACAAGGAGGAAAGAAACAGGGTGTGACGTCCTAAGACCTCAGTTTATGCCTGGGCCTGTGCGCGCTTGGACAAATTACCAAACCTCTCTGAGCTCTGGCACCTTTGTTTTTAAAGTCCGAGGGACCAGACCCCTCTGTGAGGTTGTTCCAAGGCTCAGTGATGATGTTTGTTAGAAGCCAGGCACACAGTAGATACTCAGTAAATGACTCCCCACCTATTTGATAAGCTTTAAATCCTTATCAACCGCAGGGCTGTCTCCTGATGCCTATCACAGGCAGGCTTATACTTTGAGCTCGGAGACTAAGACGCACAGAGTCCCTGGAGGGGGATAAAGACAAGAAAAGGGAAACAGACAAGAAAATACTGCCGTGTGAGGTTGCTGGTGCCACAGGGAACACCGAAAAGAGGCACCCAACTCAGAGGCAGAGGCAGGTAGAGGAGACACTTGAGAGAATCTGAGGAATGAATAAAAGTCACCCAGGAAAGGCAAAAGGAAAAGTGATCGAAGCTGAGAGACCTGTGAGGACAAAGATCCAGAGGCCAGAGAAAGTCCAGGGAGAAAGCAATGGGGGCAATGGTCTGATGAGCTACGATCTTTGCCCTGAAGCATTACAGCCCTTGTGTAGAGCCTTGCCAATACCTACACTCTCAAAAGAAAAACAAATTTAGAAAATAATGAATCTTGCTCCAATTTGCTCTTTTCTTCTCCAAAGTAATTGCTTCATTGTTGGCTAAAAACAAAACAAAACAAAACAACAACAAAAAAGCAAGCAAACAAAGAACTCATTTAATCTTTATTAAATTCAAAATACCTGAAAAGGGCAAGTAGCTTGCTTTTACTAACAGCTTAACAAAGTACTTAACACAGTACTGCCTTAGGTCTTTAAATCCTGGAGCACTCAAACTAGAGATTCACCCTCAGTGGGTTATTACTGTAGTTAGCACCACGTGTCACAGTTCTGCAAAGGGAAGGAAGGCTTACAAAATATTTCATTCAAATTGATTCAACAAATATTTCACAGGAACCACTCCCAGTGTTAGCAAGCAAACAGAACTCATTTAATCTTTATTAAATTCAAAATACCTGAAAAGGGCAAGTAGCTTGCTTTTACTAACAGCTTAACAAAGTACTTAACACAGTACTGCCTTAGGTCTTTAAATCCTGGAGCACTCAAACTAGAGATTCACCCTCAGTGGGTTATTACTGTAGTTAGCACCACGTGTCACAGTTCTGCAAAGGGAAGGAAGGCTTACAAAATATTTCATTCAAATTGATTCAACAAATATTTCACAGGAACCACTCCCAGTGTTCGGGGTTAGGGACAAATAGATACCTGTACTCTTGGGTTCTAACAAATCCAGTATTTTATAGCTCTGGTCTGGCCAATTTCACAGGCAAGGCTCTGGCATCTCACCAAAAGCCTGGCCCCTTCCAGTCAGATGAAATCTGGATTTGAATACCAGTTGTCTGAACTCAGGCAAGTGACTTAATCTCTTTTCAGGAGTGAAGTGAGAGAAACAGAACTTACTTCACAGGGTTTTTGTTTTTTAGCAGTGGCCAAGTTTAGTTGAGAAAGTAAAAACCATGAGTGCTTAAGAAATTGGCTCCCTAACCCCCACATTTCTGGCTGACATTAGGTCTATGCCATCCTAGTGAAAACCTACTCAAATTCTCCTGAGAAGTCCACGTACAGGGCTTTGGGAACTGTTCTGTGCATGTGTCCAGGATCTTTGTAATTAACCAACCATGTCTACTTACCCAGCCAGCTTTGCCACACCCTACTGTCCTATCTCATTTCCCCTCGAGAGACATAAATCCCCATAATTTTTTATAAAGTGCTGAGGGAAGTAGAAGTCTCTGTCTTCTATAACTTCTTTTAACTGAAAGGGGTTGTAGGCCCTACCCATTGGGGGATTGTGTTCTCTCCAACTACCAGTGGCTCACTGGCTGGGTTGAAGAAAGGAAAGTCTGTCAGGAAATAATGAGAAAAGTTAATGACCACTGATCTCCACTATTAGCCCAAATATGAAGAGCAGGTCAGATTTCCAAGCTTCTTGTGGTGGTACTGGAGTCTTATTTTTTGAAGAGAAAACTCAGGTCTTCCAGAGGCTCACAGGAGTGGCTCTCCCCTCTTGGGTGATCTTGTTCTTCAGATAGTTCAGCTACAAGTGACTTTGTTCTAGAAAGATAGATTCTATTATCTGTCTCTGCCACCTTTACTGCTGTGGGTGTGGCAGTCATCACTGAGAAGAGGCCTTTCCATTTGGGGTTTAATTGGTCAGTGGGTGTCCCCTCTCTCCAAGATTTTTTGTTTTTGTTTTTGTTTTTTTTGTACCCAGGATGGAACTCCAGACCTTGCACTTGCGAGACAGGCAGTGGCACCACTGAACTAAATCCCTGGCTCCTCTCTCCAAGATTTTACAAGCACTTTGTCTCCATTAGGTGGTCCTCCTGGGCCAGGAGCTGGTAGAACTCTGTTCCCATACATTTGGATAGCCTCACAGGCTGTTCTGAAGAGTAAACTAGATGAAGGGTAGGATGGGCTTTCCTATCAAGAGTTGGACGTCATGAGCCCTCTGTAAATAACACTCACTAGCATGGATAATCTTTGGGTCAGCTCAGAAACTCAGGAGAGAGGCTTTGGTATGATAAGAGGGTTCCAGAGTCTGCGGCAGGTGGTCATAGTCCACTTCATATTTTCAAGCCTTTGGGGAGGTTTCTCAAATGCTGGGTTGGGTTTTTGTTGTTGCTGCTGTTGTTGTTTAAACAGGATCTTGCTATTAGTTCAGGCTGGTCTTGAACTTACTATGTAGGGCAGGTTGACCTCAAACTCAGCAATTCTCCTACCTTAGCCTTCTAGGTACTGGGGTTACAGGTGTGGGCCACCATGTCCAGCTGGGTTTTGTTCATATCTGGTACCTAGCACTTAACAGGTCCCAAATGGTGAGCCCCTGCTGAATGGTCCCAGCCTCTCAGGAGGACCCACAAGAGAGCCTGGGTGCTGGTCTGCAGTTCCAGGAAGATGCTGTTCTGTGGGCTGCTCCAGCTGACAGAAGTCAGTGGAACCTGGAACACCTGAAGGCACAGGGGCATTTGTGAAATGAGCAAACACTGCATGGACACCTGGCAGCACATTTTTGGAGCAAGTGCAGAGAGCAGAAGGTTTGGGGGAGACTGAGCCAGGGACAGGGAAGCACAGGACTCATTTAGCAAATGGGAAACCTGGGGGAAGACTCTGGAAAGTACAGTGAGAGACACCTGTTCCGCAGTCCACCCCTCCGACTCCACCCTCCCTGCCAGCAGCACAGACCTCCCCTCTTGTCCCATCCACCCAGGAGGGGCTGGGCTTCCCACCCATAAGAGAGCTCAGGACGCCGGCTCACAGGAACTCCCCCGAGGCACTGTCCATGACCGCTGGGGAAATTCTTTCCCTGGTTTGGGGGGATTCAGGAGTGTTTGGGTCATGCCTCATCCTCGAGTGTTCACAGATTCAGAGGACAGTCGAGTGGATGGAGCTTGGGTCCAACCCTCCCACGGGACACCGAGGGTGCCGACTCCCCGTATGGGGCAGCGATCAGAAGCCACATCTGCTGGGCGACTTGCCAGTCGGTGCACACAGCTTGCAAGTGACTCGGAGGCCGCTTGCCTTCTTGACATCTCTTTTGGGACATCTCAAAGGTTGCTCCAACTGCACACATTTGTCTTACTTTGGGTGGTGGGGATTGAACTCGGGACCTCAAGCACGCAAGGCAAGCGCTTTCCCGCTGAGCCACGGCCCCCGCCCCGCCCCGCCCCGCCCACCTTGACGACTGCAGTAGCCATCTGTGTAGCTTCCCTCCCTTGAGTCTGTCTTGGACACATGCAATCCTTTGTCCCTCAGCCTTTACCAAACACGGATCCAGTCCTGCCACACACAGCCACTCGGGGAGACTTTCATGGTTTCCCTTTGTTCTTAGAGTAAAGACGAAACTCACGGACCTGACTTCCCACGTTGTCTGGCCCGAGTGACACTGTCTCCCCTTTCTCACTTGGGCCACATTGGCCTTTGCTTTGTTCCAGGTTTGTAGTGTCAGTGCCCTTGCCCCTGCGTTTCCCGCAGCGGAAATGCCCTCCTCTCCTCGGAGAGCCTCCACTCCACCCTGGCGGCACCTCCCTCGTCACATCCGGGGAGAGGGAAACTGAGCCCTGGTCTGTCTCAGGGGCAGTGAGGAGCTGGAGGGACGTCCGTCTGAGTGCATGGAAAACCGCTTCCCTCACAGCGCCTCCAGGAAGCCCAGCTTGGTAACCAGTAGAGCCAGGGCTGGACTGGCTGAATGACCTCGTTCCTGTCCCAGTGGGGTGGCCCCGGGCCCTGACTCCGCTCTAAGGAGAGGTTCCCCGCCTGATGGGAGGATTTCACGTGGTAAGAAGTCATCAGCCCGGTATGTGGGACATCAGGCCGACGAGTCAGCCTCTCAGGACAGCGCGCCAGCTCCTCTGTGAGTTAGTTCACTGCCACAGGACCGGCCTCGCTTCCCTCACCACCTGTCACCTCCATCCTCCTCCCAGGTCCCGGCTCCTGAGCCACTGCACCCAGGAGGGGCTCAGCCCCTCACCTACCTGGAAGCCTCCGTCGAGCAAAGCTGGCCCCCGGGGCCCTCCATCCGTGCCCTCATCTCTGTGTGCGGCTGACCAGGGAGGGAGGCGCGGAGGGAGACGGGCACGAGCCGGAGGGGATGGAGCCCAGAGGCCAAGCCCGAGGGCCGATCTGGAGGGTCACAGGTAGGAGTCGCGCCCTGCTCACCCATCCCAGGGGCTGTGGGGAGAACCACCACTCCAGGGTTCTTACCTCCTGCGCCCTGCAGCACACCCCTCCCTGCCCGGGCCTCCCTCCCCTCCCCGGGGCCGTCCTGGTGTGCGTCGGCAGTGCCCTGGCAGAGAAGGATGCCATGTTCTAGGCAAGTTAGTTAGTTTGTTTGTTTTTTAGTGCTGGGGATCAACCCCAGGGCCTTGTGCAGGCCTCGCTGAGCTACCCCTCCAGCTCCGAGTGGCACCCCCAGCCTGAGAAAGTCCCAGTGCGCACTGAAGGGATGCGTTGAGTACCACGTGAAGTAACTCCTGTCTCCCGATCTTGTCCAGCAGCACCACCTACGGCAGGGAAACAGGTGCAGTCGCAACCATCTTGACGGCGTCCAAAGAGCGCGGGGTGGGAACTCGCCCCCTACGCCCACGACCCCACTTCCCTCACCAGTGCCCACTGCTTGTCTCTTTCACCCACCTGAGCCGCCTGCTGCTCCTTGGGCTCAGCGGGGCCAGCCTGGGGAGCACACAGCAAGGACACAGAGACCCCGTGGCAGATGTGCACCCTGCGGGCCTGGGCCGTGTGCCATGGGGTCCGCTCTTCCTGGCTGCTGAGATGCCTGCACCTTGGCGGTCGCTAGGCCTGGACCTCCTGGAGGAGGGTGACAGTATTTTAACAAGTATCGTACGTTCTTTGCCTTTTCTGGTGCTGGGAATTGAACCTAGCAGCTCTTCCTTGAGCTAAATCCCAAACCCTTTTTTATTTCTTTATTTTTGCTTTGAGACAGGGTCTCACTCAGTTGCCGTGACTGGGCTCAGGCTTTCGACCTTCCTGCTTCAGCCTCTGAGTGCTGGGATTACTGTCAATTCATTAGCAGACCTTTCCCAGACAGGGCTGGGCCTCCTGGTTTTGACGCCCTGAGTAACCTCCCAGGTCTCCTTTTGCAATAGGGTGTGTGTGTGTGTGTGTGTGTGTGTGTGTGTGTGTGTGAGAGAGAGAGAGAGAGACCTCAGTGGAAGGTTTATGGCTTTGGAAAGACCCTGCCCTCCGCTGGGACCCTCTGAGGAGCCCCCCAGTCTGCTGCCCAGCAGCCCTCCCGTGAGGGTGAAGGTTGCAGGGTGGGAGCCCCCCATGACTCAGCAGGTGGTGCAGCAGCCCGAGCCCCCACACACCCTCCACGTCCCCACCTGCCCTGTCAGCCTGGAGACTAATGATTAACTCCTCCTGCAGGAGACGGGCTGCAGGCACCTTGGCCCAGCCGACCCTTGGGAACAGCCAGCCAGGGGCAAAAGTCACTCCAGGTCTTCGGCTGCGCCCAGACAGGAAAGGACTTGGCCGTGAACTTTCCTCTCTCTTGGCACCCTCGGCCCCTGGGCTGGGTGCCCAAGGTGCCCCGGCAGTGCCACGTGTAGGCACTCTGCGGAGTGGTCATGTTAGAGGGGGACATCCTCGTGCCCATTTCACAGACTGGGAGGGCAGGGACCAAACACAGGCTCCAGATGCAAGTAAGTGCACGTCGCCCGCCACCTACATCCGGACACTGCCACCCCACCTGCTGATCCCACACCTGCTGCAGGTGGCACCGCCGTGGCCAGCAGGAATCACCGCTTGTTTCTCTGCCTGCCCCCAGATCACTCCCTGAGCCCTGTCGGTCGGAAGCCAAGATGATGCGGAACCAACAGGGGTAACAGTCTGTGCGGGAAACACCCCTCCGCCCTGGGCACGGAGTCGGACTTCCGGCTCCTGGCTCCTGGCTCCTGGCTCGGGCGCCAAACCATCCCCAGCTGGGCACTTCCAGGCCTTCATCCTGCAGGGCTTTCTTCACCAGGGAAGAAAGTGATTCACAAAAATAAGAATCAACATAGTGCAACCTTGACTCACAGCCTTGGTCAGTCCCCAAGGTCTGGTTGTAACTCAAGGTGGTTGTAAATCAGTACGGCTGAAATCTGGATGTTTACCTGGGCACACACTATAGATAGCAAGAGGCAGATGAGTGAGTCTTCCATTAACCTAAGTAACGAAGTTGTTCGTATGTCAGGACGGTCCTAAGTTGAGGGTCTGCTGTATTCTGAAATAAAGATACACGTTCTGCAGCCCAGAATTAGGTTTGCCCGTGTCTAGGGTAGTGAGGCACACAGGGGCCTGGTGCTGTGAGCCTCTCTCTCCTGCACCCTGCGGGACAGGCTCCTAGGCCCCCACCTGTGGGTCCTGTCACCCCAGCTGGCTGGTGGCTCGGGTTCCTTCCAGTCCTCACCACCAGATGTCGCTGTTGCTCACACTTAGAGGGCATTGAGCGAGGCCAACTCCCACCCCCAGGCTTGCTGAGCCGAAACTCTAAGGGGGGCCCAGCAATCTGCCGCCCCCATCCCCAGCCTGCAGGGGCTTCCCAGCCTGCTCCATTCTGCAAGTCCCTGGGCCCCTGAGCTCTCCTCTCTGCCCAACCTGGGGGGACTTGGGGCGCAGAGCTTCTGTCTCCGCTGCAGGGGGGATGAGGTCCCTCCGGGCTGGGTTTAGAGTACCTTGAAGACACGGTTTGCAGTTAGGAAAGCGGTGTGACTGATTTTATTCTCAGGGACAAGGTCTGCAGCCGGAAGGCGCTGGTTCTGAGTGCCGGTCCGGTCCTGGGGCCTGTCTTCCCCCATCGCTCTGTCCCTCTCCCCAGCTAGCAGCAACTTCCAGCCACCCAGGCAGCAGGAAGCTCACAGCAGAGGCCTGGCTTTCACACTCCGACGCTGAGCTCAGTGCTCTCTGTGTGGACTTGATTCAGTTCCCATGCGGCCCTACAGAGGACGATGAAAAGGAGAGGACAAGGCACGAGAGACTGAACGGTCTGTGGGCTGGGCGCAGTGGCTCATGCCTTACCCTAGTGCTTTAGAAGGCTGAGGCAGGAGGATTTTAGGTTCCAGTCCTGCCGAGGCAACTTAGTGAAAGCCTGTTTCAAAATAAAAATAAAATTGAGAAAAGGTCTGGAGATGTAGCTCCCTGAGAAGGCCCTGGGCTCAATCTTCAGTACCAAGTAAAATAATAATGATACTACTACTAATAATAATACTCAGGTAGCTAGCAAGCAGTAGGACCAGATTGGAATTTAGGTGGCCCAATGTTCATTTTGGTCCTTAACAGTGACACTGTGGCCTCCTCCAAAGCATGTTTCTTGTGCCGAGTGTGGTGGTACATACACGCTGTAATTCCAGCACTCAGGAGGCTGAGGCAGGAAGATGTTGAGCTGGAGGCCAGCCTGGGCTACACAGTGAGTCAGTATCGAGACTGTCTCAAAAAACCAACCAACCAACCAAACAAACGCGTGTTTCGCCAGCCCCAGGAGGGGAGAGCGTCCCGGAGACGTGGGGAGATGCGGGAGGCCCGGCTTTGCTGCTCCCTGGCAGGGACTTCTCCGTGTAAATAGGCAGCAGAGCCGGTAACATCACCGCTGTTAAGTACATCGGAGCCCCGTCCCTCTCTCCCCTTCTCCTCACCCTGGACAGACGCTCGCCCGGAGGGTCCCCTGAGGCGGAGGGAGGGGGCCCGGTTCTGCCTGCCGTCCACAGCGGGGAGGCCCCGATGGCCCGCGCTGTCCCGGGAGGGCCGGCTCTGCTGCCCCACGTCCCCCAGAGACCCGGCCCTGGCCCCACCGTCCCAGCGGGCCGTGCGCAGATGGCCGGTGGGGCCGTGGGTGCCCAAGGCGGAGGCCGGCCAGCCGCTCTCCCCCGAGGCCTGCTTCTCTCTCACCCAGTAGTTCGCTTCACGCCTGTCCCAGTGCTGTGCTTCAGCTTCCTCATCTATTCTTTGGGTAACTTCAAAAATATTTTCTATCTCCTCTACCCGGCCTTCATCACCCCCCAGAAAAATAATTTGGATTCCTGTCCACGCACCTCCCGCTCCCTCTTTCCCTGATCCTAGTTCCGCCCCGGCGTGGAGCCCTGGTCACCCGCAGGCAGCGCCCCGAGCCGTGTGAGTTACTGGCCTGGTCGTCGGGAGGCCCCAAGGGCACGGTCAGCGCTCACCCTGCCCAGCCCTGTGCTTTCTGCTTCCGGGGAGGCTGGGCCTCTTTGCCCGGGGCAGCACAGCCCTGGCTAGCAAGGAAGGCGGGCGGCTCTTCGTCCCCTGCTCCCCAGGCTCAGGAAGCTCAGGGTGAGAACTCAGATGTCATCTTCGGACTGGTGAACACTTAAAGAAAAGGGAGAGAATCCTGAGCAGAACCGGAGGGAGAAAAATGACTCCGACATCTAGAAGCTCTAACGGGAAGAATTCAAGCGCAGTTCTGGTCAAAACATGCAAACCAGAGGAGCGCAGAGTGGAAGAGGGAAAGCGAGGCGTGAGAGAAATGACACACGTGCCATGTGACCAAAGTGACAAGTGACGTGACTCACAATAGCACACTGAAGACGGGCCAGGCATCACGCAGGACAGAGGGAGGGGACGAGCACTGTCCGCACGCAGCTGAGCACGTGGGTGGTCTTGCTGAATCGATATGCAAGGTTCTTTGCTAAACTTTCCAGGCAAAGACGCCTGGACCCAGAGGAGGTTCGGGAGCCTGACCCAAGTTCGGACAAGCAGAAGACTTTGCCAGTACTGACAGTACCCTAACCCCGGGCCTAACCCTAAACCTTGAGCTCTAAGGCTGAGCCCAGATGCTACCACTGAGCCCAAACCCTAGCGTGTATCTGCCGCTCTGCTGGCCAACTATCGAGCGCGTGCAGGACATTCTCCTGAGCGCCTTCGGGGAGACGACGCTCTGTGCTTTCTGAGTGGATTCGTTTTTGGAAACAGCCAAAAGTCATTCAGAAGCAACTTCTGTGAATTAAGAAAATGTAGCTGACTTTCTCTATGTGTGTTATGTGTGGTTCTGACAACAGTTTTAACAGACAAAATTTTACAAAATCCAGGCACTGGGAGTCTCCTATGTGGATGAAACAGGGGATAACAGTCCAGGAGCTTTGTGAATGTTGACAGCTTTTCAAACAGCTTTATCTTATCACATTTCAGGGCATTCACAAATTCCAGGTAATTTTAAAAGAGGTGCCACGGAGTTCCATGAAAAATATCAGCTAAGCACCCAAACCTTTTGTGTTTGAAGATGTTGCTATCGCTTATTGTGGTTGCATCAGTCGGCTTTACAGCACTGAGACAGAGACCCCAAAGCATCAGCTTAAAAAGAAGGAAGGTTTATCTGGGCTCGTTTCAGTCACTTAGCCCTGTCGCGGAGGCACAGTAGCACGTCGTGGTGAGGAGGATGTGGCAGGAGGAACTGCTCCATTCCGGGAAGGGCATGGCTGCCGTGACCCAGCTCCCTCCCCAGGCCCCACCGCCATCGCCCTCCCCTGCAGCACGCTGAGCACCTGGCCTTCAACACCGGGCCTTGGGGACTCTCCAGATCCAGACCGAGCTGTGCTTGCCGTGGGGCCTGGCTTTCCAAAGGCTCTGGGTCATCAGTACCCTCTCACCTTCTGCCAGGACCAGTGCGTCTCATTCAGCCCAAGATTAGAACAGAGGAATGACTGGGCCAGGGATTTAGCTCAGAGGTTCCGCCACCTGCCTTGTAAACACAAGGGCCCAAGTTCGAACAAATAACAAACAAACAAAAAATAGGAATCACTAAGCCTAGCACTTAGGTAGCCGGGTGAGTCCGACACAGGCTCTTCGTACTGCAAAGACTTCCAGCTGCCCCAGCTCCCCATTTCTGCACCAAAGACCAAAGCCAATCACCCTCTCATCATTTCCCCCAGGTTCCTAGGCATCAGTGTACAACACTTCCTAGGTAGCACAGGATGACCACAATGATCCATTTGGAGCCTGTCCTAGTCTTTCAGGGACTATCTCTGCTTTGCCTTCTTTTGAGCTTTTCAAGGACGATAATTTGATTGATTGATTGATTTTGGTACCAGGGTTCGAACTCGGGACATTGCACTTGCCAGGCAGGTGAGGTGATAATTTGTCTTAATTTCAAGGAAACGGACCAATTGCAAGCTGTAGTAATCAGAAAATGAAGACACAGACAGGTTCAGAAAAGGCCCGAGCGCCCCCTTGTGGGCAGATTGAGACCCTCTCTGGCTCCCACCGGAAGCGCTCTCAGGCTTTGCTCTCTGTTGTACCAGGGCAGAGGAGCCCAAATCCAGCAGCCTGGAGCGCAGCGCAGGAGTTGGAGGGAAGAGAGCTTTCTGTGTTCATGGAAGCAAGCAGCCTCCCCACCACACCGATTCTGAATGGAGTAAAGAGAACAGAAAAAAATAGGACAACAAAAAAGAACAAGTTAAGTAATTTTTTCCCCAAGTGTCTAGGTGGGCAAAAAGTCTTCTAGATTGTGCAGAGGCGACGTGATAGAATGCTTCTGCTTCAGTCTCCTGAGTGTTGGGCTTACAGGCGTGCTACACCATACCCCATTTATTCTTATTTTTAAATATGTATTTTTAAAAATTGTATTTCAGTTTTAATTTCTAATATGGCAAGTAGATAGATTGGTAGATACAATCTACATAAACAACAGCTTTGGAAGTCCTCAATTTTTAAGAAAGTGAACAGGTTGTGTAAGCAGCTGGGCATCATGGTGTATACTTGTAATCCTGGCACTTGGGAGGCTGAGGCAAGAAGATTGCAAGTTTGAGCTCAGCCTGGGTAATTTAGTCTTAGCAAGAAGCTGTCTCCAAAAAAAAAAAAAAAAAAAAAAGTTGAAAAGGATTACAAATGTATCTCAGTGCAAAGACCCTGGGTTCCACCCTTAGTACTGGAAAAAAAAAAGTTCTTGAAATGACACTAGAAAAAGAGATAGAATGAAAAAATGAAAATATTAGCAAGTGACTTTTCTTCCATTTTCTCTCAGATCTTTCCATGAAGTTTAAAATATTTAAAACAAGAATAATACTTACTTTCTCTTGTTGATTTCTCTTATTGCGGAAGACACCCTCACACCTACCTGTCTTACTTCTATAATTAAACACACCCACAGCACAACTGGTTTATTATTTATTTTTTTCAGCACTGGGAATCGAACTCAGGTGCTGGGAATCACGGCACCGCTGAGTTACATCCCTGGCCCTCAGCTGGCTGAAATTCATACTCATCTTATCCGACTGCCTGTCTGGTAGGCAGGAATAAGGATTCTGGAGGCAATGGCATGGATTAGTGACCTCTTGCCCTTTGGATATAATTTCTGAGTTTTAGAAAGTATCAAGCCATTGCCTTCTAGGAAAACGTTTGTGTAAACCAAAGATCCTGTGCTCCATACAACAAAAAGAGCAAGTACCCAAAGTCAGGGGTAGCAGTTTCAAAGTAAAATGGCATAGTTTGACATTTTCCAAGGAAATCAAAAATTACCCTGACCACTTAGAGTATTTCACTGAAATATTCTCTGGCCTGGCTCCCTCTGCCTCAGCTTTTGCGTTGCTTTCCCTTCTAGCTGTACCCAGGGACTTCATTAACCCTCTTCAGTTCCCTCTTCCCCACCTCCTGCCTATCTGTTTCCATCAGAGTCTCCACATACTTCCTCCACCCTGACGCTGTTTCGACTCTCACATCATTCTGAACTAATGTTCCACACTGTAGAACTCATCTAGAAGATGGACTAACTTTTATTTATGCAATTTGTTGCTGGGATATGGTGGTGCACACTTCTAATTCGGGCACTTGGGAGGCTGAGTCAGGAGGATTGCTGTGAGTTTGAGTTTGAGGCCAGCTTGGGCTACATAGTGAGATCCCATCTCAAAAAATCAAATTTGCTGTGTCTTTTATGGCACTGAAGCAAAGATATGTTAACTGGAGATAAATGTATTTGGTATTCATTACATAAAATCTTTGAGAATGTAGTCTTTTACTGGGATTTTATTTGGAAAATTTCTTTCTACAGATTATATTTACGTTCCTTCGATTATAACGTGAAACATTTCTTAACCCTTTTATGACTTAAGCAAATATTCACTTACATTATATTATCTGGTAGCGTATATATAATATTTTATCTAAAATAAGACAATTGATTCTATAAAAATGGCATTCATGCCCTGGTAAGAGACCCCTGAGATCGGCTCAACATCGACCACCTGAGGACACCGCTCTCCCGCGAGTTCAGAGAGCTCGATGCCACGGCCCAGAGAGGAGCCAGGCAGGAGCCTTCCCCTCCGCCTAGGACTCTGGCGGGGCTGACTCCACACCGTGAGGCCGCATGTGGAAGGCAGCTGAGAGCCACCAGAGACCGCAAAGGGAAGGAAGTCATCGAAGGTCACCCAGTGCCGCCTGCCCTGCCCGGACCCAGGACGAAGGGCAGGGAGAGGCTGCATCAGGCCTGGGGAGGGGGCTGCCTGGGCCTCCCTGCAAAGTGGCTCTGTCCTTAGAAAACTCCATCTCCCTGCAGCTAGAGGAGCCATGATGACGCTCAGCTGTCCCAGAGTTGCTCTGAAAGCTAAAATAAAACCACATGCAAAGCACACGTAACGGCCATTTCTCTCTGTCTGCCTTAACTGATCATGGGAGCGAAAGCCGAGAAAGTGTCCCTGCTCCAGAGGCATGGTGGGTAGGGACGAGAGAGGACACTCCTGGGACCATCTGCAGGGAATCTGTGCAGAGAAACAGCATGGATAGGGCTGTCAGGAGCTCAGCGTCACAGAGAGTACATTCTGCAGGGCAAACAGGGCTAGGAAGGTCTTGCGTGCTTAATAGGCTTTGGTTCACCATCCTCATGGACTACATGGCCTAAGATGGCTGCCTGAGCTCCGGCCATCACTTTTCCAAACTGTACATCAAGCAGAGTGAGAAGAAGGAGGTGCCCCTTCTTCTTTGGTCCTGTTACCCAGAAGTTATTAGATAGCTTCATTTAGAGTGTTCTGAGGGACATTTGTGGGGCATTTCATGGGCAGTTAGCCACATGTTTGGGGCTCCCAAGAGAGGACTAAGGTGGAGACTTGTCTTGGCAGCTCTGGCACAGCTGCCTATCCCAGGGGAGCAGGCACAGTGAGGACAGAACTCCATCATGCCATGAACCAACAGTGAGCAGTGGAGGCAGAGGCCATGGTGAAGGGAAGGAACCAGGGGTGCTCAGGGTCAAGGAGAAACTTTGCCCGTAATAAAAGGAAGCTCCTTGGGAGCAAAGTCAGGGAATACGACAGGTGAGGAAGCTTCAAAAATCTACCTCTTCATGCCAGTCATGAGGCTGAAGCAGGAAGATCTCTGAGTTTGGGGCCAGCCTAGGCTACATCAAGACCCTGTGTCAAAAAGAAAGAAACAAGCAAGCACTCTACTCCCTTCCTCAACCATTAAGCTGGGAAACTGAATGGTCAGCTTTTTACAAAAAATTCTGGAATCTAATTTTAAAAACATGGAGCAAGCAGAGGTGCACTTGCTTCAGGAAGAGTCCGCTAGACTTCAGTGGTGCTGCGGCATCTTTGCTGACCTGGCCGCACCCGGCTCCCTGCTCCTTTGGTGGCAGCCCAGGAGATGACAGCCTCCAGTTACGCGGACCAGACCTTGTTTATAAATCGTTGAGGTGGTGCTTTTTCCCTTTTTTTTTTTTTTTGTTCAAACACCCAGGTGGAGGAGGCTGCGAAGGAAGCTGCTGGAGGACCGAGTGCTCTGAAGGCCGCTGAGGTGCGGGGGACCCAAATGCACACGTCTGTGGCCAGGCACGGCTGAGAACAGACCTGAAAAGACCTCGGGGATCCGGGTAAGGCTCCCGTGAGCGCCACACGAGTCCCGAGGTCAGAGCCGGTCTGCGAGGGCAGGCGTGTTTCGCTGGGTTTCTGCTGCTGTCTCCAGAGGTCGAAGCACTTTGGTGTCACCTCCGAGACTGACCACAGACACAACAGGGCAGAAACCCCGGTGTCTTCACCTCGTAGAGAACACAGCCTGCACAAACAGAGCGGAAATTACCCTAACAGACGCCTGACTGAGCCCTTCTGAAGACCTCTCGGAAACAGAAGAGGAGGGAACATTATTTCTCTGAACTGCTTTTACTCACATTTCTGTCACCGAATGTGTGTGGCTTTGTTTTTTGTTTGTTTTGTTTTGTTTTTTGTTTTTTGGCAGGGGTACTGGGTGCGTGTGGCTTTTGTTCCACCCTGAAAAGCAATTTTCTGATTCTGGACATCAGCTGGTGTCTTTCGTTTCAAACCTGGCCGCTCAGGGCACGCGGGGGTGTTGGAGGCTTTATTAAAAGGCACCACTGGTTACATCACTGGGCGCTAGTGATTTAGGGACTTCCTGGGAGGTCGGGCCGCAGGGCTAACAGTCTCAACCCTGTGGTCACGCCTTGGTCTTTGGAACTCTCTGTCCTTATTCCGAAACTACATAGCCACGAGTCACCCATTGACATATTTAGGGCCCCAAACGGCGAATTTTAATGTACATCACATGAATTTCACCACAATGGAAAAAAAAAAAAGTAAAGCTACTGACACATGTTAAATTACCGACAACCTCAACCCTAAATCCTGGAATCCCAACTTCCTGGGTCGTGCCGGGTCAGGTAACCATCTTATTCCTGTTCAGCTTTATGGGGAGCGCCTGTGGCTCTGAAGGGGCCCTGGGAGCTGTACCCCCGCGGCCGGGGAGGAGGCCGGGCCCAAAACCCGGAGCGCAGGAAGCAGCCGCCCGGCCGGCCCGGAGGAGCGAGGTCACC